AAATCTTACAGAGCAAGTTAACAGAGCGGAAAATAGACTCCAGCATGGGAGAACCTCTTTAAAAAGCGTCCCGATGGTGGTGTGCTTACCTGCGATTTTGTCCCCCTCCATTGCTAAACGCACACCCTCCTCTGCCACATGTAGCCTGTCTCTCTTCCAGTCTTTTTTGTTGGACTTCCTCTTTCTCTCCCAGTGCACCAACACTTTCTCCTCCTTGTTTGCTTTCCCTCGCTCTCCTTTGGCTTTTCCCTCCCTCTCTCTCTCCTCCTCTCTCTTTAACTCTACCCCAATCTTCTTGATTTAATGTCTTCCGTGTGCCGCAATAATGAGCGGATGCAGAATTACGGCATGCCCATGTGCTGATCATATGGAGCGTTCTTGCTCTTTTGCTTTTATTGTCCTCTCTTTTGTGTCTGTCTGTCTCGAAGGCTCTCTCTCTCCGTCCTCTGACACTGAGGCAGCATTGTGTGTGAGCTGGAAACCCAAGGCCATGTGATATGAGCGTTTCTTCCCAAAATATCTCCTCTCGGCAGCTTGAGGAATCCTGGACTGCCCTCTGATTTTTTTCAGGGCTCTGGTGAGTCACGAGAGAAAGGGCCGAGGAGATTGACATGACGGACACCACACCCGTGATCGAAAACAAACATCTGAACACTGACTCAGACCGTAGACAAACATTTTCATACGCCGCTTGCCGCTCCTAATTTCAAGTATGGCCAAGACACACAACACAGATTGCTGAGTTTTACTTTGTGTTACTCAAAGAGAGCAAATGCAGACCCCTGTCTGAAAGCACTTGGATTCAGGATGATCTTTGTTCAGGAAGTGGGACTGACCTTTGGCTTTTTCTTCTGGGGGGTTGCAGGGTCGTCTGGCAAGCAGACAGCTGGGAGACGAGCCTAAATATGTGTGAAGTACGTCTGCCCAGATCAGGCACTCCAGACTCAGAAATGTATAGCAAAAAATTATATATATTGAGCTCGAGTTAAATGAGATATTTATCAATAATATCCATATCGATGTATATAATACAGAAAATAAAGCAAATTCAATCAAATTGATCGATAAATGTCAATATACAGATATCTTGTGCTAGTAGTGATTTGTAAAGCATTCTCTCCTCAGGCCTCTTAACACGGGAACAATACTGCCTCTATGAGAGAGTTCATAGATCTACACTCACTGCCAGACTCACAGCCTTAAATTCCCAAACACATGACATTTCATAGACCTCAAAGGGAGGTTGAGTCACAGTCTTACTGTAGCTACAGGCTTTGCTAGCAGCATATTCATTCAGAAGAGTTTACAGATCAACAATGCTGTTTAAAATCCTCAGAAATGTGGTCTTAAGTGATCACTAGGCTTGATCAGTAAATAATTGAAAGTAATAGTTTAAAAAATAATCAGGGATGGGAAGAATTCATAGGGAAAAAAAGGATAATCTCCTGGCAGAAAATTATCAGTACATTTTCCGTTAAATTTAAGGACATTTCCTTCAATCCTAAAACACTACAACTCAATGGAAGTCAAATGCAGAATTTTAAATATGGGTAAAGCACCATGTAACACAGTACATTTGCTGGCCATATTTTTATGGAGTTTTCTGTATTCATAAAGATTTCTGTATTTTTCATCCTGAGAAGTGTGACCCTCATGAATTGTGAAATGGCCTTGAACAATTCCAAAATGGACACTTAGATAGATAGATAGATAGATAGATAGATAGATAGATAGAGACATCAGATAGATAGATAGATAGACAGACAGACAGAAAGACAGACAGACAGACAGACAGACAGACAGATGGTCACAGAGTGTCGCTCTTAGCATAACACTGGAGCAGTCAAAGAAATTTAGCACAGTGTGCTTTAAATACAGCTTCAAGGACTTCTGGCATCTTACACACACATTAGCTGAATATCTCTTGTTTTAAGCAGTCATTTGGACTTTGTTTTGACTAACAGACGCCAGGATGTACTTTCTAACCAACAACATGTCATATTTGTTGAGTGCATAACATAAAGACAGAACATGCTGACATTTTCTACAGCAAGTCAGTGACCAAATGTCAATACAAACGATACATATTCTTAAAACCGTAAATGTAGCCACATGCCTGAGGCCATTTAAGAGTTAACAGTTTGTCAGAGAGACTTATAATCTCACCATCACAAATTTCTTCCAAGGCCAAATTTGCTATGCAAAAATACATATTCTAATGGACTGTATATATATTAACATGGTTACACTTTAAGGTCCAATTCTCATTAATAACAAACCATGAACTATGACTTTTGCCTCAATAAATTCCTAATTTGCTGCTTATTCATAGTTATTTAGGTAGTTGTTAAGTTTAGGTTTCAGGTAGGATTAGCGATGTAGAATATGGTCATGCAGAATATGTGTTTTAAGTTCTAATAAACATATAATATATTTTATATACAATATTCATATAATATATAATAAATATTATATGTGACACTGGACCACAAAACCAGTTATAAGGGTAATTTTTTTAAATAAGCTTTCCATTTATGTATGGTTTGTTAGGATAGGACAATATTTGGCCGAGATACAACTATTTGAAAATCTGGAATCTTAGGATGAAAATAAAATATCAAAATATTGAGAAAATTGTCTTTAAAGTTGTCCAAATGAAGTTCTTAGCAATGCATATTAAAAATCAATCAAATCAAATCAAAAAGGAAGTTTTTATATATTTACGGTAGGAAATTTACAAAATATCTTTACATCCTAATGATTTTTGGTATAAAAGAAAAATTGATAATTTTGACCCATACAATGTATTTTGGGCTATTGCTACATATATACCTGTGAGACTTATGACTGGTTTTGTGGTCCAGGGTCACATATAGTAATAAATATAACTCGTTTATATCTATGCAGTACATACTGTGAATTTCAATATTTTATGCAATAGAACATATATTGAAGAAAAAAAACTTACTATATCACCTTCGTAAGTTTAACATGCAAGACAAAAAAAATGTTATTAAATATTTTTTAAAATAAATATATTTTTTACAGTTAAGTTTATGCCTCTTCTCTAAAAGGTTATTTTTTATGTTGTCTGATGGCTGACACATGAACACACCAAAATATACATGCACATGCACATACTTGTAACCACACAAACACACACACACACACACACACACACACACACACAGTGTGAGGAAATCAGTTTTCTGTTTTATGTAAGAGTAAAACTGGGGTTTTAAATGTGAGACCGCCTGGACAGCACACAAACAAACATTTGCTTTAATTAGCATTCTTTCTCCTGTGTGCGTCATTTGTGAACATATGTTTATGTGTATGCTTTGTTTGTGAAGTTTGACAAGCAGATCTCTGGATCTTCAACCAGCCCTCATATGTAGACGTGCTGACAGTGCAAAAGCAGACTGCGCTTCCCACTGAGAGAGGATGCTTTAGTGGTGAGATATCACCACACACACACACACACACACAGACACACGCGCGCGCGAGCGAGCGCGCAAGGTGTGAATGCTCACCCAACCACATATGTGCAAAGTCACACTTCCATAAATGTAAACATCAGAAGTCATTTGCTTTGTCCACTGTGAGAGTGAACGCTTCCAAAATGCACCAACAGATGCACAATAACTGTGCTGCATGCTCTTTGTGGTTTTTCTCTCTCTCTAGATATATTTAACCTTCTTAAACAGAAAACAACCCGAATAGACAGCTGCTGTAACCATTGTCTCCCAAGACACATGCACACACATTTAAAAACTCAATTACTCTTTACAAAAACACACATTTGGGTCTATTTATCATTAACCAGTATGACATGTTCTCTACTGGTTCCATATGACCGTATTTCACTGGACATCAAAATTGTTTATCGTACAGTTGTTTGAAAACAACTTAAATGTTAATATGATTTTTTTGTTGATTTAACATTCAACAGTCATACACAATGATGCAAGAACTGTTCAGGAATCACTTTTTAAGATAAAATATTGTATTTCACTGGACATCAAAATTGTTTATCGTACAGTTGTTTGAAAACAACTTAAATGTTAATATGATTTTTTGTTGATTTAACATTCAACAGTCATACACAATGATGCAAGAACTGTTCAGGAATCACTTTTTAAGATAAAATATGTACAAAGATGAATTAAGATCTATAGATCTGTTTTGTCTTTGTGTTTATGTGTGTCTGCAGAGTTGCTACTCAAGGCTTCTCCAGCTACCACTAAACTAAAATTGAAAGTATGTATTTATTGATTGATTGATTTCATTTCATGTATATTTTATATTTTTAGCAAGAAACACGATTATGAATGTGAATCTAAATGCCTTTTTTTCCATTAACTGTATGTGTATCTGCAAGCATTCCATAAACAGCACTGACATTGTTTACAAGCAATGTCAATCATAATTCAGAGCCTAATGTCTGGTGCAGCGAATGCTTTTAGCAATGCATACTTAAGTTCTAATGTGCCCTAATAGAAATAAAACTAAATACAAATTATTATTATTGGTGTTTTTGGTATTAATAATAATAATAATAATAATAATAGTTGTAGTAGTAGTAGTATTAATGTTAATAATATTTTAAACATTTACTATTATAAATGACTAACTTATGAAATGAACAACATGGTTTTCAAATGTCTTTTACATTATATTTACATTAAATAAATTTTCATCTTCCAATAATTCACCACACAAAATATACTGTGTACAGCATAAACCATGTTAATCCTTGCTGAATCTAACATAGTTTTTTGTATGTGTCTTTTCTTTTCTTTTCTTTTTTCTTTTTTGGATAGGATTGTCCATGGTTTTTTGTCACATAACTTGTCCAGGATGGCATCTACCTCAATTTTTGGCTGCTTCTACCGAAACACTGTACCATTTGATTGGATGCACAGCTTTTTGGACAACCACCGATCTGTGTATCACAATAATGAACAATAGCAAACCTGCGTGTGAATGTGAACACTTACCAGAACCAGTACCAGTAGGACTTGTTGCCTCTCCTCTCTCTGGCCTCCTCAGCCTGCCGCTGGTGGACCTCGCAATGCCTGTCAACACAGAAGACATAACAGAAACACTTTTCAGAATGATCTGATTATAGGATGAAGGATATAGAGCAAGATGTATAGGACACAGTGTCCAGAAGAAATGGAGCAGAGGAAAGCAGATGTGTTGGGAACAGACATCAGAGCAATGAAGCTCAGCCCACGCAATTATGTGCCGCATGTGTTTGTAAAATCAAGTCAGATGGGTCACAAACACAGAGACAGATCAAACGCTGCTTCTTTTGAAATCTGTGCTGCCACTAAAACCCTTAAAGGGTTAGTTCACCCAAAAATGAAAATTGGCCCATAAATTACTTACCCTCAAGTCATCCTAGGTGTATATGACTTTCTTCTTTCAGACGAATCCAGTCGGAGTTATATTAAAAATGGTCTTTGATCTTTCAAGCTGTTTAATGGCAGTCAGCGGGTGTTGCATGCTTCAGTCCAAAACATGCGTTTTTTAAAGAAAAATATCCATATTCAAAACGTAATAATCCCTTTAATGTAGCTTGCGCTCACTGTTGTACCAGAGCATGTGAGCGGAGCGGAGTGAGAGCGGAGCGGGGAGCGGAGTGGTAATATTTCTTTAAGAGCGCAGAGCGCCTTTCTGAAGATTCCGCTCCGCTCGCTCAAAACGCTCAGCGCCGCTCGCTCAACCCAGAATGCCGTTTGGTGATTTGTTTGTTCGAGATCGAGAATCTGTAGAGATCGAGAATAGTAGAGCAGTTATGGAGTTCAGATATTGTTTCAACGAAGTTGCAAGCCTTATACATAAATGTAAAGTAAAAAATCTAAGTTAAGAATGAGCAGGGAGAAGAAACTGAGAGGGAGAGTTAGTAAAGATTCATATTGGAATCTGAAGCGGCACATTGCCAGAAAGCA